TAGCACAGGGGCCAGGAGGGAGAGGAGGGACTATGACCCATAGCCAAAGAGAGAGACCGTGAACAGCCTAATGACCCATCAGTTAAGCTCAGGGGTGGGCAATTATTTCAGCTGGAGGGCCACTTAATGAGTTTTGATGAGCTGTCAAGGGCTGCAAAGGTAGCCCTGCTGCTGGACAGGTGCCCTGCCCCCTGGCTGTCAACTTGGGATTGGATGTCCTGCCCCCAACCTCTTCCCCTGCAAATACTCCTTTGGGGGTGGGGTTGCCATATTAGAACCAGAAAAAACCTAAATAATACTGAAAATCAAGCATCTACTGTAACATTTTAATTTTATATACACTATACAAAACCATGTAAATCAGGACAAAAATATTTTTTGAAATAGAGGCAATTGCATAATAGCTCAAAATAGTGTATTTATACATCCCTGTACAGTGTGGAGGGTATGGGGTTTGTAGAGGGGGTGGAGAGAGTGTAGGGCTTGTGTGGGGGAGGAGGGGTGTGGTGACCAGGTGTGGGGGGGCCCATACCCTACTTCCCATGGTGCACAGCCCCTGCCATTGGTGGTGGCAGCAACAGGCAGTGGGCCGTCAGGCTGCTTAAAGCCTACTTGAGCTGTGTTGCCTGGCTAGGCTTGCCCCACAGCACCTCACCCCCCAATTAAAGGGTCCCAGCAGTGGCTCCCAGCAGCAGCTGTGTTCAAGTTACTATGTTGTCAATTATAATTGGAGGTTATGCAAATATTTTTTTAATTATATTTTTATCCCTAGTTGCTTTTACTATATTCACTTACAGAAATAAAACAAAATAGAAGCCATTTAACCTAAAATGTGCTCGTAGTGTAACTACTGCACAGCCCTCTAGAAGAAAAAATACACAGCGGAGACAGTGGGTTCATTGAATGATTTCTACTTAAGATTTCAAAGGTGTCTTGTAAATATAAATCTGCTGTGGGGAAAAGAGTGCAGGCCTCTTCTAAAAGTAGATCATATTTTTTTGATATGGCTGGGTAGGGGAGGAGACTTCCCTGAAGCTGCTTATTTACTGCCCCCCTTTTTTATTGCAGTGACAAAATATTTTTTTTTCTCCCACCTATCTTAACTCTTTACCCAATGTATATGGGGCTGGGGGAAGAAATGTTTTGCCAAACTTCTTAAAATCACTTCCCCAGCTCTTCCTTTACAAGCAAAACAAGCTCTTGGAAGAAGTGTGATAGTTCTATGTTTTGTTTTGTTTTTTTAAGCCAAATACAGTTTCAGCCTCTCTGAAGCCAGTGGCTTCGGGATTTCACCCTTAGTGTAGATGCTGTCTTAAGTTCTTGATAGAATCCTTTCCCGTTATAGGATTTTGGTAGTCTGTCAAGATCTATCTTGACCAACTAGCACCATTAAAAGTAACACTTGTTTAAAGTATCAGTGTTAACCTATGACACAGTCTTTATTTGTTAACATGGACTATCCCTTTAACGTGTGAGGCCTCCAGCAAAATGAGATTCTGAGCTTTGACATTCTTAGCACTTTTAATGTAAAGACAAAGTGATTTTTAAGATTTTCATTAATCATCACAAAACCGTTCTGAAAGGAAACCCCGGACAAAACCCCCTTCTGCCCCTTGCATGTTTTCTTTCAATGTACAGCCTTCCTAAAACCACAAGTTCCCACTACCATATACTCCATTTAGCTATTCAGCTTTCAGATATAGACAGATTTGGTACTCTGCAATTTAAAGTTTTATAGATCTTCCCACTTTTGTGATATTTGCAAGGTTATTAAAAATTTTGTGTTTTACAAAACTAGACCATCTTCATGTTCTTGACAAAAAAATTCCCTTCTTCCAGCTTGCTACTGCTTTTCTATAGCTTGCATAAATATGCTTGCAAGACAATTTAGGTTCCTTCCATATATTCTTTTTAGAGTATTATGAGTAACATTCATATATTTCTGCTGCATTTAATGCAGCAGCATTTTGTGAAACAATGTACTAAATGTACAGAACAGGTTTAATTTACTTCTCCAAACCTTAAAAAAAATAAAAAATAAAAACAATAGCTACTGAACCATATTTGGAAGTATATTGGTCACTTGTTTTCAAGCATAAAAACTCCTTTTTAAGCAACTAAAATGCTAGCTTTTCCCAGTAAGTGTAGTGTTCTTTTAAGCTAGCAAAACTGAAGTCCAATAGGATTATGTTAAGTGAAGTGCCACCCAGTGTCGAGTGTTTCAGCATGTGGCCCAAATCATAAAAATATCAAAGCAACACAACTGAGCAATGACACAATTCAAGATTCTTAAAACAAACCCTGTAAACAGTCTGTTTTTGCCTAAAAGTTCATTAACATTGTTTTTCTGTCATGCAGTTAAAGCTCTGTCAGCTGTCAAACCTAGGATAATCAAAGCCAACATCAGCTTATGGACAGTATGCAGGGAGGACACAGTATATATAGCCTGTTAACAATAAGCTTTAATATAATGTTCATTGTACTATTCCATAAATGGAGAAGTCATAAAACATTTCAATGCTTTGCACAGTTCAAACTGTAATTCCCATTACAATGAAGCTCTGCATGTAGCTACATTATTTTGTGAGGAAAACACTTCATTAGTGGGTTCTGCTGTATTCTATTTGTTGACATGTCTTTGATGTTCTTTATTCTTCCACTTGCTTTAATGGGTGGCAACACAACAATAAAGTTTTATCAACTATCAAGCGACATTAGTCTAAATTTCACAGTATGAAGGTAACCTTGTGTAAAATGTTTTTGTTTCTTTTAAACGCCATGATGCAGCTCATCCCTTGTTTCCTGCAGATGAGCAAGAAAGTAGTATATCTGATATAGCCAATTGTATGTTCAATCTGCCCTAGTTTTGGTTGGTTGTTCTCATTCTTTGGGCATTTGCTCACAACAGAGACAAGAAGCAGGCAATAAATGACTGCTATTAGTCAGTCTCCAATCTCTCATTTGATTTAGAAGATTTGTGCTTTCTTTTCTTTTTCTTCTTCTTTTCCTTTTTTTTCTTTTCTTTCTTCTTCTTTTTTTTCTTGTGTTTCTCTTTACATTCTGAGGAACTGGAGCTGTCACTGCTTCCACTATTATCTGAGGAAGAGTCTTCTAACAATCGCTTCAGCTGCTGTATCCTAAATACACAAACACTTCATGTAAAAGAGCACCCTTTCTACTTCCAGTGTGGACAACAGTTAACCCAATCCCCTCCTCCACTTGAACAGTGCAGTAGACATTTTTGAGAACTGTAAAACGTGACACTGCTGATGAGTGTGATGGTAAAGCACTTTACTTTTATGGGGGAGTCAAAGTCCAAATGATAGCTTTCATAGCATGATGCCAAGCTACTTCTTTCTGCCAAGTATTCAAGGATCTCTCAAAGGTTTCTCTTCCTGGTAGGGTAAGTGGTTAATAGAGCTCAGCTACTGCCTAGTGTTGGCAGTTCAGTTGATGCATGCAATTGGGAAAGTGTGACAACTGGACCAGTAAGAAACTGTATACTGCTAATGACAGAGGTGCAGTTTGAGTTGAATAGTTATGTGAAATAGTGGTTCTATGACAGAAGGCCAGGCCAATGGTACCAATCAAACAAAAAGCATGCTGCTTTGGATACAAGGCTAATTTGAAGAAAAAGTTAAATTCCCTGTAGAATAGATTCCTAACAGACAAGGAGAGCCTCCTCACTCAGTTAGCCCTATTTGGCATAGTCCCCATCATGTATTAAAAACACTAACTAATGACAACCTGCCACAATGGTCCTGCACTGCACTGCACTCTTACGTTTAAAAGTTACCATTAAAAATTAAAATTTGTGTGCAGGTAGCAAGAAGAGTAGGTCCAGAGAAGTTTTCCCCATTATCTTTATTCTGTCCAAACTAAAGACTTTATTAAAAAAATTAGACCATTATGAAGAGTTTCTTACCTCATTTCCTTTTCATGGCGTTTATTTTCCCTTATTATATCATACATGGGGTCTTCATGTGCCTTTAAAAAAGGAAAGAGGAAAACCGAATGTCATATTCTTACATTTATAACACTTAAAGTCAAACCTCCAAACCACATACATTTACACCAAGGGAAGAATCCCAATTAATATTCATCAAGCTTTCAATTCATAACAATTCACTATTGCTATAACTCACTTTCTTGTAAACCTGAGTCAATTTTTGGCAATAGGAAAAATGTATGCAACCTGAAGCAGAAAATGATGTAGCCAATTGCAGGGACTCTCCTCATCTACAACATCTCTTACAACACGAGGCTAGTAGGGTTGTTTGACCACGATGCTAACTGATACAGAAATATCTGTAATATCATAACTACTGTTAAAGTCCCCAAATAATCTTAAACATGCCCCTATAACACATCTTAAATCTTAGTTTTCCTTCCTTCTACACCTTTTCAGATCACTGTCATTCAGCCCATTAATCAGGCCTGTAATAAGGTCATCATCTTCACCTGACCCCTCATATCCAGGCAAGGTCTAAATCTCATAGATTCTTTCTGCATCTCTCTAAGATAGAATTTTTCCCATCCATCCACACAGCTAAAATCATCCTGTTTTGATTACTGCTTCATCTTTTTCTCTGGCCTCGAGAAATGCAACCTTGCCCTTATATCCATTCAAAATGCTGCAGCAAATATTTTCCTTAACCCACTGCTCTGCCCAAGTCAGCACTATCATTACATCCCTACGCTTTCTCCGCTTCCTTTACTGCAGGAAATTTAAGCTACCTGTCTTTGCTTTCAAGACCCTTAATGCCATATTCCTACCCTAATTCTCATTTCTCATGTGCTATTGAGATGTACACTTTTACTTCCAATTGGCCTCAGATGCCATCTTCCATTGTCTAGTTAAGCTTTGCAACAGGTATCATCCTGTTTTTCCTGTGTTGCCCTCATACCTGGAGGGAGCTCCACCTTAGGTGGTAGAAAGCCCTCTCCTCCTCCAGAATGCTCCTTAAAAACTCTCCTTTTTCTGTAGACGTCACAATAATTGGCAACTGTGTGCTGAAATCATTGCGTATCATATCTACCAGCATATTGGTTTTCTTGTACTGTTTATGGCTGCTGACAAATGTTAAAAAACAAAAAAGCACTTTACCGGAGGCAGCAGTGTGTTAGTTGGACCCGGCTCTGCAGTGTCTGTATAGATTGGGCGCTTCAGTGGGGCTTTTTGGTAGGGCTGTGAGAAGCTTCGGTCCCTGATTCGATTCAGCGGAGATTTGGCTCCATTCGGTGTCTGAATCAGGAGACCCTTTAATCTCTCCGAATCGAACCAGAACCCTCTCAATCCATTCAGAGAGATTTAAAAAGATTTGGTGATTTGGCATTGACACAGCTTCAAATGTTTTTTCTACTTACCCTGAGGTACCAGGAGGCTTGTGAATGCTGCAATGCTGGGGCAGATGGAGCGTCCCACAGGAGCACAGGGGGCTCCACAGCACGCTTGGCAGCAGACCCAGAAGTGGACCAGAAGCACTTCTGGGTCTGCTGGGGAGCGTGCGGGGGGGCCCCCCCATGCCCTCCTGGCTCAGCGACTGGTGCCTCCTGGGTCTGGGGGGACACCCAAGGTCCCCTTGCGGTCAATCGCCAAGCCGGGGGGACCCCTGTGCGCTCAACAGCAGACCCAGATATGCCACCGAGCACGTAGGGGGGCCCCCCACGCTCCTGTGGGATGCTCCATCCGCCCCAGCACAGCAGTGTTCATAAGCCACGCCTGGAACCTCAAGGTATGTAGAAAAAACATTTAAAGCTGTGTCTATGGCCAAATTGCTGATTCTCTGAATCAGCATCAAATCTTCAGATTCAGATTTAGCTGAATCGAATTGGGGACAGTGATCCAAATCAACGAATCGAATCACTGTCCCTGATTTGGGCCAAATCCAAATCGAATACAGCCTGTTTTGCTCACCCCTACTATTAGATAAAAGTGCCCCAAAAAGCTCCACTAAAGCGCCCAATCTATACAGATATTGAGCAAGCCAGGTCCAACTAATGTGATACCTCTTCTGGGTAGAGCTGGGCTCGGCACTGTAGCGTGCTGAGTTTGAAGTAAAGCACCTTTTTTTTTACATCTGTAAGCAGCCTCTGTGTCTGTATATACTTGTTGTCACTGTCTTTCACTCAGATTGTACACTCTTTAGAGACAGGGACCCACTTCATTCTGTGCCTGTATAAGACCTAGTCCAACCTGGTCCTAGTTTATGGCTGGGGTCCCTAGGCACTACAATAATAAAAAAATAAATTATTATTAATAAAATATTTAATAATCATCTTCTATTTTTTCTCTACCACTAATTCTGTAAGCAAATTATATTGCAAACATTACATTAATGTCAAGAATTGCTACTAACACCACACACAAATTCCATATATTAAGGAAGGGAACTATTCTTCAACTAGCAAAGGACTAAAATAGTTTTTCCACATTTTCAGTTTGGTATTCAAGTTCTACGTGCTAATTCTGTGGGAAGAATCGTGAAACTGTCCATGTGTCACTTTTTATCTTAGGGCCTGGACACAGGACACATTTACACTGATGTATGTTGTATTGGTTTTATATACACCATCATCTGGAGAAAGAAAACCATCTACTTGCAGAAGACACTATTACAATGCCTTGTTACTAGGTGTGGTGAGGCAGGTAATAGCTTGCTGACTTATAGTTCCAGACACGTAGCCCTTGCACTGGTTTACCCATGATTTTCTCTGCAGGGTAATTTTACATGCGAGTCAAGTAAACTATGCTGGTGTGAGCTACATGCCATGCGTCCATTCCCTCTTTAGACCTTTGTAAATATATTGTGTTTCCAAGTACTTAGGAGAAAAAGAATTTTTGTTTTAAGTTGGAGAGAGAGCACGCTGGAGTTTTGTAAAAAAGTGTGTTTTTTTTAATCTGAATTGTTCACTTTAACATTTTCCTGTTTCCTTTTCCAAAATAGCTTTCCTATAAATTTGCAACCAAAATCTCTGTTATCTTGAAAACTTAACTTTCAGCAGTTGTTCTTAAGAGATTTTGGTATACTTATTACTTTATCACAAAAAAACAAACAAACTGGTAAAACTACAAACCAGTACTACAATATTTGTACTCACTACTCTGAACTGTTCCAATTTCTGATTGCCTTTAATAAAGAATGGGCATTCTTTATCTCCTGTTCTGTGTCCATAACGTTTACATCTCCAGCCTTTAAAAAAAAAAAAAAAAAAAAAAAGGCAAATTGTATCCTTGAGCCTGCTCAAAAGATTAAAAAAGCCCCCAAAACCACCAACACCCATATTAAACTATATTACATAATCTTCACTTAGTTGTAGCAAAGAGATAAAAACATTACTTTAACAATACCCAACATTCACAGCCCACAAAATTATAAAAATCATCCAAGTACTAGGTGCTACCATATCAACATAAAGCCAATTTACCTAGACCTCATTTTTTTTAATAATAAATATTAATTTGTCTCCCAGATTTTTCCTCAAAGTCAAAAGATTCATAAGATAAAAGGTCCGATTAAACTTGGAATTTTTTCACATTTACACTGCATCACTTTGACTTCTTTTCCCAATGGCATCCAAAGTCCTTTAGTTGGGGCATGAGCCAGAAACTCTCGAGCGCTTTCATTGCCGGGCACATCAGGTATACAGTCTTCTGGTTTGGTTTCATTTTCCTATAGAAAAAATTAACAAAACACAAATCCTTATTTATACAAATTTACTTTAAAACAAATAGTTTAAAAGTGCAAGTCATAATTTATTTATGGATCCACTTTCTTCTTAAAAGTCCTCTTTCTTTTAATACAGGAATAAAATATTTTATTTCCTTGACCCTTTTGGTAAAATTAACTCATTTGCTTTTTAACTATCCTTTGACCCCTCCTTTCAAGTACGAATATTCTAGCTAAATTGCTTCCCTCCTCTCACATTTAGCACAGTAATTTTAAAGCAAATAATTTAAATGGAAAAAAATACACACAATTCAGAACTTATTGTCATCTTTGTAAATTAAATACATTGATTACATCGGCCTTTTTAATGTGTGGCAGTTTTTGTTTAGTTTCTAGATTTAGATTATTCATTTTTTGAATCTGAATGGAGTAGCAGTTTGATTGTAACAGGAAAATGCAGTAATTTCCTGTGTTAATACTTTAGACACAGACAAAAAATAAGCAAGAATTCTAGAAGGATTGTATGCAAATATACTGTGATATTAACCTTAGGATGCATGGAATCATCTATAGTGAAATCCTATAATCCCACTGAAGGGAATAGTAAAACTCCCATGTCGTTGACTTTAAGGGGCCTGGAATTATGCTCAGGGTTCAAAGTCAGCTTTTTCAATATAAAAAATATATTACACACACTAACCTTAATTAGGCCTGGAGGAGGTTTTTCATAGCTGAAAAACATTTAAAATATAATTTATTAGTATTATCTTCAATAATTTAACAACAGATAAAAATGGACAAAATATTCCGACCTGATTCAACATGCTGCAGTCTTGGGCGCACATGTGAACAGGATGCCTGGGAAAAAAACACTTCAGTGCAATGAGCACCGGAGTTTATTGCGTCACTTTAATACACGCATGTAGATGCGCCCCTTAAGACCTATAGAAACCAGTAACAGGGATGCCAGCAGAGTGAGATGGTAACCATGGCATTTTCACACACCTTAAAAATGTTTTTGCTTGCAGTTCATGTGATGCACTCTAATGTACAAATATCCTATTAAATGTATGTTTCTCCTTGGTAATGACAGTTTTGTTATGCTGCTTCACAGCAATGCTTGATACATCCAGCTGAGCCCTAGCTGCCAGAAACTCACAGCTTTTTTATCCTGAGAAAGCATAGCTATAGTAAGGAAAATGACATCTTGCTGTTCCATATTTATTTTCTCCAGCACTGAGTCATTAATATGTTCCACTGACAATGTCAAAGCATGAATTTTCACGCTGCCAGATCTGCAAGCTGAATTCCATATAGGACAAACTGGTTCTTTTACTTTCTATGCTACCAAAGATTAAACTGAAGCCAAAACTTCACTGACAGGTTGCTGACGACTCATGAAGCAGAACAAAATGTATCTTCCTGTTCTGCAGCCATGTTGGATCAGCATCCTTGATGGAAGAAAGAGAGGTAGCTTTTTGCTTGTCAACACTATGAACAGAGAAAGGTGTCAAAAGTTAGTGTCACTGGATCATCTTCCTAACAATAGTAACACTGAGTGCTATCCAATATAATTCACACCAGGAAATCCTGACTCAGCCATGAAGAGACTAAAATTAATTTCCTAGTCAGTCTTACTCTTTCCACCCCATTCAACCCCCTTTTAAAAAGCATCCTTCCTGATACAAGATGCAGACTAACAGTAGAACTGGGCAGCACATCTTAAGCTTTTACACTATCCCATACACAGACACTTTAAAAGGAAATGAAAGCTGATCAGGCTTTACTTAGGTGCTACCTGCCCCAGACTTTCCTCTAAAGTTCACTTTAAAAAATCACCCAGGACAGTTACAGTCAGGAGAAGAGTTGGGGAAAGGAGAGTTTTGAAAATGTAAAGTCACTGGTGACTGGTAAAATACTTTGCCCGCCTTCCCACGGATGGAGACACTGACAACAGACAGATTTGCCTGTCTTTTGTAAACCGGTAAGAGGAGCAGGCGGCCCTAGCAACAAAAAGAGGATTGTGGACTTGTAACTATGCAAATCCAACCCCATTTTTTGAAGACATCATCCTGCTG